GGGGTTGCGGAAGGGGGGAGGGAAGCGGCGCGTATGCGTGCTCGCGTGCAGGAGAAGGAATCGCAGGCTGGGCGGCCGTGGGTGTAGTGGGGATGGGTCATGCGGCCGTGCGCGGTTGGTTGGGGATACGGCAGGCTGCGTTGCGTCAGGCATTGCGCTGAGCTGTCGCCAGTCACATGGCCCCCCGTGCGGCGTGGCAGCAGGAGGGCAGGCGTCCTCCGGGAATGATGACCACTGCTGTGCTGCTGTCGAAGCGTGCATCAAAGCCAGCTGCCGCAAGCCGAAAGGACCGAAGCGGCGATAGAGCGCGCAGCTTGCGCACGGAGCAGCCTGGCCCACCTCGGCAGGGGCAGTGGTGGCAACCATAGTCCTTGTTTGCGGCCGGAAGCCACTTCCACTCAAGATCCGGCCCGCGTTCGCCTGGTGCGAGCCTGCCAGTGTCGGGTGGGTGCGGGGCAAAAGAACAGGTGGGCCGCTCCGGATCGCCCGTGGCGCGAGCGTGCAATTGCACGTCATACAAGCACATGTTGTGCTACAAATGGCCGATCGGCGGTGCGACGTGCTCCCTACGCGCCAACTGAGCGCATGCAGTGCAGCACTTGCTGCCCCACCTCGAGGGGCAGATGTGTGCTGCCAAAGTGGAACGCAGCGGCAATTGAAGGTGAACCGATATAGACGCGTCCAAACGATATAAGGCAGGATGCAGGAGACACGGCAAAGCAGACGAGGATGGCCACGCAGTGATCAAGGTGGCTGGTTTGAGCCCGCTCGATGCAGACACCGCTGTAATGACTCACGGTAGATGCTCCTCGCGGCTTGAGCACCAGCGAGGGACCTCCCAGCGATCCGGAGCGCGCTCATTGGTGGTGGCAGCAGAGTCCCGTGGTGGCTTTCGACGCAATGGGCGCGGCCTAGTCAGTGTAACAGTCTGAATCGGGCGCTAAAACGATAAGGGTCTGCTGTGCGGTGAACTATGGCGCCGTGTTGTGCACGAGTGACGCGCCGCATGGCCGAAATCCGCTTGTTCGTCCATGGTGTCTCACGCATCACCCTCCCAAGCCGGCCCCAAGCGCCCTCTTTGAGAAATTAGCGCTCTGGGCACTAAAGCTGCTGAGTCAAGAGCTGCCGATTTGGCGTCACCGCTCGTGTGCGTTGTTGCGTTGACTGGTTGACCCGCGATGCACTCGCAAGACCTGCCGCTGCATGCAACCGTGTTTGCTGGTGTCTTTGTTGTCCAAAACCTACCACCCCGCTGAGAGCACATACTCCACGTGCATCGCGCTCGTATGCACGGGTTATCCACATGCGCTTTCGGTAGAGTCTCTGGTGCGGCGCCGCCTGGATGCCGGCGACATGCACAATATCGCTTGGTATCCCTGCACACAATAAAAAGCAGCAGCTGTAGAGGGAACTTGAGAGCCAAACCGAAAGCTTCTGGGGATCATAGCAGCGTTTCAAGGCATAGAAGGGCGCCATCGGCATGCCGCAAACTCCTAGATCTACGGCCGACGCCCGGGCCGCCGGGCCGCAATCACCCCACATCACCAGTGAACTCATGAACAGCATCCAGCTGCAAGATGCGCGCTCACAGATGCCATCATTTGCACGCGCGTGAGTTCAAACCCTAGTCGTCGACATGGTGCCAGCTCGTCCTGGTTTATTTTGTTGGAGGGCTAGTCATGCCGTACGGTAGCGACCCCATGGCCTCCCCTCGCGGCGCGCGTACGCGCTCGTGTGCACGAATCAGGCTCGACATGAGCGCGATTTGCCGGTTGCACAAAGGCTTTGAATACACACGCGACTTGGTAGAAGTATGCTACTTTTCCATGGCGAGCATCGCGGTTTTCGGGTGTCTGTTCCTGGGACCGCTGACACCAAGCAACCGGCGGGTTACGCAACTGCAGACATGATTATTGGGGTGACATGGCGCACATGAACGGTTTTTGCACCTGATTATCCTCACCTCGCGGCCCTGTGAAGCCGCCGTGGTCCAGCCACTCGAGGTCCGATCAACACACCCTGCCTCAATTGCGCCAGCAACGAACAAAAGGAATTAGCTGTGGTAGACACGAGAGAACCTTGCCAATAACTCGGGAACCAGTGACGCAAACGCTTGCTCGGGGCAGTGCCTAAGTTGCGGCCACCTTCGCCGCGAGCAAGCAGGCCGTCCAAGGGTCATGTGTGAGCATAGTGGAGCAAGCCTTGGCTGTCGAAAGGCAGCGGCCAGGATCGGCGTCACCGAGGCAACCCTGGAGGCCTCTCGCGCAGGGGGGGCCCGGCTGCTGCTCGCAGCCAGGGCGCCGCCAAACGCGGCGCCGCACCGGGTGCCACTCTGCTTGCACATACCCACCATCCCTTGCCTCGGCAGACGGCTAGGAACCGCTGCCGGGGCCGCCTGGCACGATCAACCCCCTCCTAACCACCCGCGCCACGCCCACGCCCGCCCAGCCCGGCGCCATGCCCCTGGCGTGGCAGCCGCTGACTCAGCGAGCATGGCCTCCCCAGACCTGGAAATAGAAGTGGAGGTCAGCCCGGCAGCCGCCCAGGCTGGCAAGCCGCCCCCCGCCGGCCCCGCCGGCACGCCGTTTGCGGCCGCGGCCGCCCAGCTTCCCGCAGACTTCCACGGCATAAGCCTGAAGGGCGTCGACCCCTTGCTGGCGACGGCCATCCCGCCGCCGGCCGCTTTCAAGTCGTCGCCGCACTACCCCCTCATCTTCACGCAAAACCCATTTGCGGCGGGCCAGGTGCGGCGCGCGCCCGCGGCCGCGGCCGGACTTGCCCGCCTGGCGGCATGGGTGGCAGGGGGCCGGCCATCTCTGCAGGCCGGGGCCGGGCTCGGCGGGCCGGTCTATCCTTCCGGGCGGCCGTGTCAGGGCGCCGCTGACGGCGTGGCTGTGCGTAAAGGCCTAGCCACAGGGGCGTCATGCTAGACGGCACCTCTCACTTCGAGGTTCTATGGGACAGTGACGCGGGCCCAAAATAGTTTCCCGGGCCCAAAGTCCGCGCCACCCCCTCGGCCCGCCCTCCGCGCCGGCCCGTGCCCGCGTGTGGTCCCCTCACCCACCGCGCCCTCGCCCGCGGGCCCGTGGACCCGCGCGCCGCCCCCATTCGCCAGGTCAGCTTGGGGGAGGCGGCGCCTAATGAGAACCTGCCTTGGATCAACACGCGGGCGTATGAGACTGAGAACGATGTGAGCCCCGCGCCTGGGTTCCCGCCGATTAGAGATGGATGCGGGCGGGACAGGGCCGCATTGTTGGTTGCAGCAGCTTCGTGCAGCAGGGCGCTGGCAGGGAGCCTGCGACGCGAGACAGCATGGCCGTCGCTCGGCGGCCAGCGGGCGGGCGCGGGCAACGGCGCTCACGCGGGCGCATCCGGACGCCCGTCGGCAGATGGGCAGGTGCAAGATCGAGATCCACGTGCGGGGTGTGAAGAGCAGCCAGGCCGAGAAGTTCAGGGGGAAGAAGCGGTTCGTGCACACGGCCATCCAGGTGTGCAGCGCCCAGCCACCGGCTCGCCGAAGACGGGGCCGCGGCGGGGCGTCACTGGGCCTGAAGAGGGTGCCGTGCCGCAAGACGCAGGTCGACCGGGCCGGGCAGCGGTGCGCCGCGGCCAAAGCGGCCGGCAATCACGCCGCCTGCTCAATGGCAAGGTCTGCCGGCGCTTGTCCACCCTCCAGGTTCTGCCTCACGTGTACACGCACATGAATATACAAAAAGAGTCCCACACACTTGCTCACTCCCCAGACACAAACATAAACGCACACGACTCTCCTATCGTGCCCCTCAGGCGCGCCTCACGCGGCCGGTGGTCGCGGGGGACTTGTGCCTTGGGCAGGAGCTGTTCAACGAGGCGGCGGTCCCGGTGTGGCTCAGCGAGGCGCTGCTCACGCTGGGGGCCAAGGCGCTGAGCGCGACGACGCGGG